CTGCTTGTGGACCAATTAAACAATTCATAATAATAATAATAATTGCACAAATTAAAGCAGCATACAAAATTGAAATAGTTAATATTGCAGAGTATTTGCACATAAAGCATCAGAAGGATCCATATGTTAATATCATAAAATTACACGACAGGTCTCAAGTAATAATGAACTCAATAACTAAGACAGCATCGAAAATCAAAGAAGAAATAAATTCTGAAGATGAAATCAATGACACAAATGAAGGAAGCACATAAATTTCTACATTTGCCACAACCGAATGCCGGTATGAACACTGAACTGTTCTATAGTCACGAATTCTTTTGTTTATATATCTAATAAATAAATACTGTGTAACTGTTTAGAGTAATAAATAAATATCCCTTGATTTTGTTTAAAATACATACTATGTTATAACCCACTTCAAATAGACACTGTACTTCTTTATTGATTCTACAAGTATATGTTACATAAAATGTTTTATATTGTAAGCCTTCCTTGAATTCAGTCATGAACAAACTACAGTACGCCAGATGCAACCTACACAAACATTTTCTCTAGCTAAAGCTATGCAATTATTTACCTAACAACAAATTAAACCTTGAATAATTTCTAAAGAAAATTTTTAGCTCCACGTGAAATATAGCATACAATATAAGGTCAGACATTTGTTTAGTAGAATAACATGATTAATTTTTCCCATAACAATATCTTACTATTTTTATGACAGTCTTTGTGATATTGATTGCATTAGTTGACTGAAGCAATGGTAAGTCTGAAAATCAAAGCGAGATTTACATTGGTTCCTAGACATTGAAATGTGAATTTTCCATGAACTCTGTGGTTAGCGGTAGATGGTCTACTTTGTCTATGAGAACAGGTGCTTAGTGAACATCATAAAATATTGAGCATGTTTTAGTTTCAATTAATATGAACACTTTTTGTAGAAGTAGTGTAAAAGTCAGTGGAAATAGTGAGCTCAAAGATTTTAACGGGCTGTGGCAGGAGCAATATTTCTTTATAGATACAAATTACCAGCATTTACACTGTAAAGCGGTTTTTATTGTCTATGACATGTAACGCACAGATGCAAAACGTGTGAATTTTATGAACAAGAGATTCGAATGAGACGGATTTCATATCGCTGCTATATGATATGGACTCCCAAGAAAATAATGTGCCATACAAATCCTACGCTCGATCGATAAGCTTAAATTAAACTTCTCAAGAGATTAGCATTCACTCAAATTAAGATGCCTATTAATGTTCGTGACCATGTTAGGTGGGTCCTTGTCACCTCGGCATGGGGCATCCTCAGATTGCCTTTTGGGATAAAGGCCTCCGGATCTGTTGAATAAGCAGTTGCGGACAGCCGAGAAGGAGTGGTTCTCAAGCTTTGGGGTTGGGCGTGGAGCTAACAACTCTTCACCGTAAAAACTTAATTTTGTTACGAAATTCCTCAAAGCGCCTCGGACCTAAGCAATATAAAAGGGCAAGAGATTTGGCACGTGGAATAATTAGAGTCTGTACAGGGAAGCTTCAATCAAGCCAGTAGCGGGAAAGTTAGAGAAGTAAAAACTATATTTAGTGGAATTACAAGAGGTTAGGTGGGAAGGATATCACAGTGCAGAAAATTACACGTTTCTCTCTGGAAAAGGGAACGTTAATCACCACTTAGGGACAGAATAGGATTATTTCAGCAGTTAAAAGCGTAGAGTGTGTTTGTGACATTATGCCTCATGTAACACTAAGGGCTAGCGCGCACGAGCGGTTTTCCTGCCTCAGCGGTAAACCTACCGCAACCGCAAATTCTTGTTGTCTGTGCGCACGGACGGTGAAATAAACGCATTGTCTTCGTTTTCTCTTCAGTTGGGAGCTGGGTTTTGTGGAGACAGTTGGCGTGTGCTCTAGGCTGATAAGTCGAAGCATGGATTTTGTTGGGACTGTCGCTGTGTTCGCTTTTTTGCTAAGAGTAAGGGCAAAGCGTAGGAATAATTTTTGATTCCCTCCACTCGTAAGTCAAAGAAATTATTCGTACATTTTTTTTTGTAAAGTTGGCTCTACTTCGTCAGTAGAACTTTACAGACTTCTATCCACAATTTCTCTTTAGTTTTTGTCAACGTACTCCGATATGGTCGAACTGTACAGTAGCATTTCCTCCTATTCAGTTACACCAAGGTTGTGCAAACAATGTTCGCAGTGCGGCTGTTTCGACGCTCGTGCGCGCACGCAGGTAGGGTTCTTCGTCTTCTATTGCCACCGCCAGCCGCTGTGCGGCCACCGCACCACATCGAAAATGAATCCTATCGCGGCAGAAGACCCGCAGCGGTAAAACTACCGCACGTGCACTGGCTTCCTACTGAAACAGTGCGCCCCATCAATGCAGCAGAAAAACCACTGCTGTCCAAACCGCTCGTGCACGCAAGGTCTAAAGGGTCCTTGGTGTGGTGTCATTGTACAGAATGTGCATGCCCTAACAGAGGATAAAGACGATGACACAAAGGACAACTTCAACTAGGAACCAGAACAGGTATTTGACGAGTTTACTAGGTACCATATGAAAATGTTGCTGTAAGATTTCAATGCGAAGATAGGTAGGGAAGGAATTTTTAAACAGATTATTTATTGTAAAGGAAAGTCTACATGACGTTACTAATGAAAATGGAGTCAGAGTAGTAAATTTTGGAAATTCAAAAAATCGAATTGTCAAAAGCACAAGGTTCCCTCACCGTGACATTGATAAACATACTTGTACTTAATCACATACATCACGTTTTAATTGACAAAGGACGAAACTCCAGTATATTAGATGCCAGATCTTTCTGAGGAACTGACTGTGATACCTACCATTTACCTGACAGCAGCAAAATTAAGTTAGAGACTTTCAGTGAGGAAGCAATATTTGATTTGGAGAAACTCGATAGTGTAGAAGTTATGGGAAAGTACCAGATAGAAATCTCCAAAAGATTTCCGGCTTTAGAGAGCTTGGATGACAGTTTGGATATTAATAAAGCATGGGAAAGTATTAGGGATAATATCAAGACCTCAGTAAAGGAGAATCTAGGATATCACAAGCTGAAGCATAGTAAACCATGGTTTAATGATGAGTGCTCAGAATTAATGGACACACGGAAGCAGACTAAATTACGACTGCGAAAACCAAGCCAAATCAATGGAGATAATCTGTAAAATTTAAGACATGAAACCAGTAGAACATTTGGTACGAAGAAAAGGAAATACCTTAAAAACAAAAATCATGTAGACAAACACTTGTCTAATACATTTCCTCTTCAGAATGGCCTGAAACAAGGAGCTGCTCGATCTCCGCTGCTTTTCAGATTTGCCTTAAGGTGGCGACTGACTTGTAACATTTGCCTGTAATGTAACGTGTTACAAATCGAGCATTACACAAGTGAAGACAGCGAACGGAGCCGCTCGCGCTCGCGGGCGCTCCATCGTGTTGTCGGGTTTTTCGCGAATCCCTTTGAGTGTTACATTACAAGTCAGTCAGTCAGTCGAGCGGCGTCGTAACGAGCATTCACGAGTTCTTTAGATAAGAGTAGCGTATTAAATGAAACAAAGATAACACAACCTCCACGTCCGACATATTGAATGAAATGAATGGAGCACACACGAGCACAGTCGAGCCGAGCGTTCAAAACGAGCATTCGATACGCCTCACCAGTTGTGGTGTAATGTAACATGCTCGCCGCGAATGTTACATTACAAGTAAATGTTACAAGTCAGTCGCGGCACGCATGGGTGAGGAGAGGGGTGTCCACAGGGTAATAGTTGGGAGGTCTGAAGAGAGGAGACCGCTGGGAAGATCTAGGAGTAGGTGAGAGGATGATGTTAAGACGGAACATAGGGAGAGAGAAATCGATGGAGGGAACTGGATACAGCTGGCTCAGGATAGAGTCTGGTGGCGGGTTTCTGTGAACAGAGTGATGAACCTTCGGGTTTTATAAAGAAAGTGGGATATTCTTTAAACAAACCGAGTATACAATCGACTTTTAAAACAATATCCTGAACCGTAGAGTGAGTGAGTGATTAACGTTCGTAGACACCAAATAAAAAGATCAAATGTTCCCATAATAGAATGATGAAAGCTGTAATACTAACCTGACTTTTCTTAGTAATAATATGGAACGACTAAGTGAGAAACTAACTCTTTATTCATGAGTTGTATAAGTGGCAAAGGCTGTCAAAATAAACTTACCTTTGTTCTCAGAACACGATACAAAAATAAATTAATGTATATTCGAACTCTATAGAGAACACACGAGTTCTGGTACTTCCAGTAAGTACAACAAACGTTTAAAGAAACCACAACAAGAAGTATGTAGTCCATTTATGGATTTTAAGAAAGTAGAAAATGAAATTAAACTGTTCACTTACACTTCTCCTTATACGCTGAACAACTCCGGATAATCTGTAATTAGAGCTGATTGGTTTGCAGTTTGGTGGAGAACTGAAAATACAAGTTCATACCACGTGAGTGTGTCAAATTCTCTCGATTCTTATGCTGTGGCCTCACAGAAACCAAACAGACAACAGAAGGGTACAACACACTCATTTCATTCCGTAAATGAACAAAATGATAATGTTATCAGTACTGGTAGAACATTTTACAGTGTTACGTAACACACAAGATAAGTACACACTGTCAAATTATCACATAATAATTGTAGACTTAGAGGAAAGCACTTTAAATTTCTTCTGTGATGCAGTTTGTTTGGATGAAATCACCATTGCAACCACATCTAAAATACCTATTCATTTTTAATAAGTAAAGGAAATCCCATTCCTTAGAAATATTTGCTCATGGCCTTCAGGGAAAACCAAATACTTTTTAGAACAATAAATTCTATCAAGAAATAGCCTAAACACTTAATATATTGAAAGTTTAAACATATGTTAACGCTGTCATCATTTAAACAGCATTCAAGACACGATTTCTCTGTGTCTGAATTGTGGGCAACAGGTAAGTAAACAGCCATTTCTACACATTATTCACCTTTATTTAAAAACACAAACAACCACGCAAATGCTTTAAAATTTATGTAGGCACAGTAAATCCATTGATACCAAATATATACAAATATACAGTATAGATCTTTACCTAATCTTCACAGGCATCAAATTGTCCTTGACATCAGGTCAAAATGAAAGAAATACAAGGACTTTAAAATCGAAACACTGATCTTACCAAATATATAATTTTTATTTATTAACCTATTATTAAAAACGTAGATTCATTCAGACCCATTGTATACCATGCCAAGTATTAGCTGTATGAGCTTCAGTGTTCAAGACAACTTGTTCATGAACTGTTTTCCTACAGTTGCAGGTTCTCCATTCAACCATAAAATAGAGGTAGTAGCCAGCCAACACAGCCACAAAAATATGAAGAAGAAAAAGAACTTCACACACTGATGGAGCCAGTACAGCCTGTAACATGCAAATCAAAATTTAATATTTACAAACATAACCTCAAATTAAATACCCTACAAGCATTTTCAGTTTTGAATATGTTCTTTCTTTTGCAGCAGTGTTGAATTTCATTGTGTATACTCATAAATAGCAGAATATCAGTGTCACAAGCACAGGGAAGTCTACCTGTATCTCTTCCTGATAGCTCCTGGGAGTTTCTTTGGGTCTTCCTTGAGCACAAATGTGCGGAGTCCCATGAGACCCTGCCTCAAGTACAGATCCCAATTTAGGTTACTGATGTTGAAGTCAAAAATCTTTCGGTCATCTTCACTGAGTTTGCTCCACATGTGATGCACATTCTGGTTGGAAAACTTCCATTGTCTTGTGCAGAAATATGAAATGACATCTGTAAACTTGTGCAGTTTCTTGTAGGTCTTCATGAACCTTTATTATAAGCAAATACACATTAGTTGTTCTACAGAATAAACATTCAAAGCTGGATCTATAATTTCAGCATATTTATTTTAGTTCAACGCACCTGGGCTTTTGTCGCAAAATAAGCAGGGCAATGTCTCCTATTAGTGCTGGAAGAAGGTGAATCAGCAATGCATACAATTTGTACAAGGAGTGCACATGTACCTCGGTAAGAGTAACCATCCACACTGCGCTATCAAATGGTACCTGCCAGCTGTATGTTCGTGTTAGAAAAGTCGCTCCAGCTTATCGGATTCTCACAAGAAGACACGTAGTTGTATACAGGAATAGCTCCAGTGCCAGATCTGCTGAAGATAAGCGAAAAGTTAGCCTGTGTAAAAATTATCATCTTGCAGGACAACTATCCCATGAAGGTATATGATGAGTGGTGTTGTATATTTATACATTCTTAATCTTGGTCCAAGATCGGGGTGAATTTCAAGGTCAGGTTTTATTCATTCATTTGGGAAATAATCTGCAGATACTGTTTGTTTATTATGGGTAGATATAAAGTTAACGTAGAAAATATGAAGAGAGAGAATCTGCAGCATCTGCTCGATGGTGGCACATCAAGAGGGTAGCATAAATTACTTTATTTCTCAAAACATTCTCAGCATTGAAAATCTATAACACAGTAGAATATTGCAAAAAGACAAATCACTAGATTTTACAGTGATTTTTTTTCCACTGCAGCAGGAACAGAAAATCTTGAGCTGTTGGATGGAATCACTTGAAGGGAGAAGTCACTGACTCTTGTATCTCATTGCATTCACTGAAAGGTCTAATTATGAATGATTCTTGTGTCTTAATTATGATCAACAATTCACCTTCGCTGCTCATGGATATGCCAGGCAGAAGTAACGAGGGCATTAACTGCCATGTCACAGGGAACCATATCCCCCACCATTTTTCCTTTAAAGTGCATGGTGCGAATCATCCCGAGACCCACACACGCCACTGCTCCTGTCGGTCCATACAGGTTGTCAATCCACCCTGGCACAGGCTCACTCCTTGTACACAAGACTAAAAAGGAAAACATTGCTAGTCATTTGCAGAAACAAAACACAGTAAACATGTCTGCAAAATTTAGTTGGCTGTCTTCTGGAAAATTTCAGCAGATAGATGCTAGATTTTTACCAATGTTTCAGTGGAGATTAATGCCTCCATCACCAATGTCAGAAGCAATAAGCTCCTTTCAAATATCAGCCAGCACTACCAGAAAAATAGTCAAGTTACAAATCTAATGCTTACAAAATTTTTATTCCATCATAATTTCTGTTGCCATAGATCCTAATAATAATCACTGTACCTTGCATTCATTATATAACAAGAAGCTATAATTTGCAGTCTACAGTCAACTCACTGATGGAGGGTCTGAACACTCCGACAGGAAGATCCTTGCCGACAGTCCTCACTATATCTTCAGCTATTGCTTTGGTATAAGTGTATGTGTTCGGCCAGGCACCCAAAATCCTGCGAGAATAAAAACATGCTGCAAAAATTTATGATTGTATAATTTTGAACATATCTAGGAGGTTTGAAAATGTATGAAAAACCATTTATTAACTCAGGTTAGAAATGTTGACAAAAATAATTCCTTTCAGACTGAGTACATTACCTTTCACCAACTCATTATCAAAGATTTTGTGTTTATTATGCAAATGAATACCCTTAGGTCATATCCTGTAACATATGTGAAGTTAATTTTATATTTTAAATTTAATGCTTTAAAGCACGGAGTTGCCTACTTGTCACTTCTTAAACATTAAATACCTCTGCATCTTTAACAAACAGCAATTACTTCATAAGGAACATTAAATAATGTATCTTTGTAAAGGAGACCAAGTACGAAATCTAATCAAGTCCTAAATATTATTTAGATAAGCTTTGTGTCGCTTTGTATCTGAAATCTTACCTTAACAAGTACGAAAAAGTTTAACATTTCATAATAAACATTAAATATTGTACTACATAGACAAATATATTTAAATATATCATTAAAGTCTATTTATTACACCACTGCAATAAACTATTCCTCACAACGCTATGAAAATACGTCCACTATTTAAATATTGAAAGTTCAGTAACAGAAAATTCTAGTCAGAACAAATACAAATCTACAGGCAACTCACTTTGGAGTAATGGTGGTCAAAGTATTATCGTCGAAGATTTCGGCTAACTGTACAATCCCCTCGCCAGTGATGGGCGGGTCGTAGAACTCTTCGTCGATGGATGTGCGGTGGCAGTGACTGAACGCGGTGGATACATGAACCACCACCTACAGAAAGAATCCACTTCATGTAAAAAGGAAAATTAGCTACAACTGATCTTCATAGAGTTACGAAACAAAATATTCTCACAAAAATATATGAAGCCTCGCTGCAAAATTTGTTCAGGACTTTACAATCTATATCTCATGTTTCTATGAGCGTCTTTAACATACGAGGTGCGGTCGGAAAGTTTCTAGACTGCGCCTATAAAAACCCGTACACTTATCTCAGGTATTAAATTCATCCATCACCCTCGAAGTAGTTCCCCTGGGAGTGAACACAACGATC